ATAAATTAAGCTTTTGATTGATCTCACTCAGATAAGGGGTCCAAAGTTTTGGAGAGCGGTCCAAAGTCCTAAAAAAAGGTTCATGGTTGGAGCAATTGTCAAGAAAGTACCTGTACTGTACAAGCTGGGAAAGTCTTCTCCGACAAGGGGTCCTCTGATGGACTCCCCGACTGTAAATCAGAGATAAACATATGGGATTTGGCGTGGATCCAGTAAGGGCACGATTTTCCACTAAATTAAAAATTTTTATGCATACCAATGTATTGAAATAAACGCTACTCACTTATCTATTCTGAAAATGTTGCGCCCCCCCCCCCCCCATTTTAAATATCCTGGATCCGGCCCTGGTTACAATATAACTTACTTTTTGACATTTTTTCCTCAGATTTTAAGACTCATTTCTTATTTAATCATTTTTTTTTTTTTCATTTCACTGATCTACCAAAAACTAATTGTTACGTAATTTCTTTTATTATTCTTTTATTTATAGCATTTGATATTTTTTTAATTGCAGTACCCATTCCTGCTGGGATTAGGCATTGCTGTCGTCTGGACAAGTATCGTTGTGATGAGCAGGATGTACTTGGGGATGCACAGCTTACTCGTAAGAACAATTACTGAAATTTTATGTTAATCAGTTGGGACACAAACATTTTTTGTAGTTTGGTGTAAAGTCATAGTGTGCTCAGCATGGTATACTAGTCAGTTGTCAATGATTAGATAGGAAAGAGTAGCAACCATGAGTTGTTTTGATGTTAGGATGGTTGATCTATCATTAACCCACTGATTGTACAGATTGTTTTCCATTCCCTGGATTCAAATCCTGCAGTGTTGATTGAATGGAGCTGTAGCTTGTGGTTAAGATGCTTGCCTTCCAGTCCCAGGGTGCTGGGTTCAAATCCTTCAATATTGATCAAGTAGAGCTGTATTAGAACTCATCCCTTTAAATTTCTAATTATTTGGCAGATAATACATCTTTAAAGACAAGATATTGTACAGTAGGTGTATAAATGTATTAGTTTATCATCTTTTTTTCTATGCTGGTAGGTAGTACCCTCATTTTTTTGTGAAATCATTCAAGTCAAGTCCGCTTTGCTTGATATGATACTCATAGTTACATCATGATTGGACTGATAGTAGAGCCAACATTATTAATAATTTTCTTTACAAAGAATGGTAAATAAAGTTTATGAAAGATTGTAAGGATACCATTAGATTGGCAGCTATCTAGCCTATATAAACAACATCACATATTAATTTTATTCAATTTTTAAAATTAATTTTGCCATACTGTAGTTTAAAAAATTATAATTTTCATATTCATTTTTAAAATTATATAAATTTAACTGAAAATAAATTGATTACCTGTTGTTATTGTAAAGACATTTCATATCACATTTTTTTGCCATAAACAATATTTTTATTAAGAATGAAATGATTAAGTACGTATATTGAAAAAATTAAATTAATATTATTTATGCTTCAAATTCAATAACAATTTTCAATTTTTATTAAGAATGAAATGATTAAGTACGTATATTATAATTTTAATATTCATTTTTAAAATTATATAAATTTAACTGAAAATAAATTGATTACCTGTTGTTATTGTAAAGATATTTCATATCACATTTTTTCGCCATAAACAATATTTTTATTAAGAATGAAATGATTGAGTACGTATATTGAAAAAATTAAATTAATATTATTTATGTTTCAAATTCAATAAAAATTTTCCAGTAAAAATAAAAAACATTTTCAGAAAGTACTCCCAAAAATTAATGTTTGTGTAAGATTACATAACCATGCTTATTTCCTATGCATGTCAGGTTACTTGAACAATTGTTTAAAAGTAACCGCTCATTTAAACATAATTGTTTAAGGTCATATTATTTAGTTTCACTTGTATTGTATGCAAATTTAACCAACTGTGTGAAAAACATTATTCCTCCATGGTGAAAAATGACTACAAAGGTGGAGTGAACTTTGATTGACCTGAGTGGGACATCACAATAAACCCACAAGTAACTCACACCTTAGCAATGGCCTTTACATTTGAAAATAATATTTTTTTTATATTATACTGTGTGGTGTCAGAAATTTCCATGTAAATAGACTTCCCAACCTTCTTGAACTCAAAATTCATGGTTAACAAGGTTTCCACCCCCGGATTCTTGTTGATCAATTTTCTTTCATGGATATATTCTGATAGTATTTCAAGGTGTCAGCAACAACCTACTAAAGTATATGTGGGGTTTTTTTCTGCAAAGTCGAAAAAAAAAAACCTGAATGGTAAAACGACTCCATAACAACAAAAAAAATACAATACCGCCCTAACCATGCATTTCAAAAAAGCTCTACTGTGGACATCCGACTGGAGGGTGACCAATAAAAGTCAAGCATATAAATTACAAAGTTGTTTTCTTTGCACAGATTCAGTTAGTTGTTCTAGGCTAGACATGCATTCATTATGCTTTGTAAGCTCATCACACATGAACACCCAAATTATTTTCAGGCCACCACAATAAAATAGAATCTATTGTACATTGTCTTTTTGTTCGAGTATTTTTTTTTTTGGTCATTTTTTTTTTTTAGTTCTGATGAGGAGCTCTAGAAACACTTGCCTGATTGATTAATAGATCTTTTTTGTATGGGCGCCATTAGGGCCAATATATTCTACTACCTCTATTATACTGCCCTCATCTGAGCTTTCGAGATTACAAGAACTAGTTTTAATAACTCAGGAGAGAGACAAACTTTTCAGAGACCAAGTTGAGTTGAAACCTGATTGTTGATTGAAATTGTAAAGATTTGATCATCTGTATAAAGTTGTATTGTCCCTTGAAAAAAAATCATGCAAAAATGATTTTAAAACTAAACTTTCTCACCAACAAAATATTAACTTGAGCATAGAAATGTAAAATTTTAAAAATGCAAACCCTAATTTTAATTGTGAATAATGATTAAAATCATAAAAAAATAAAAAAAAAAAAAAACAGTAACCAGCGGCTATATTTCATGGAACTATACCGGTACATCTTTAATATCCAGTTTTATGGTTAATTGTGGAAAGATTTGAGTTTTATTATTTTTGGCATGAACAAATGTTTAATATACAGTATACAATACACCAAATACATTTAATGTACAGTAAATATAGCATTATTACAGTGCATTAATGTTATTAAACATTATGCTTTAGAAAACCTGACATTGCTTAATTAGATATTGCCATGACAACAATTTCCATGGAACCAGTTGCATAAGTTGAATACTTGACTTTAGCCAGGTGTACAGTAGATCAGATTCTGTTACTCTATTTTTACTTGTTCTTAAATGTATATTTGTGTGTATAGACAAAAATTTCTAATCAGGATGTCATTGTTGGTATAACAGATGCACATTATTGATGACAATGAAGTCAAATCTTTTTTTCTTTCTACTTAGGATGTAATTGTCGGCATCACAGCTGCAACTTTATTGATGACAGTCATGCTTCCTTTCCTTGATTTGATTGACAGCTTTGTATTGCATAATCAATGGGCACCATTCTTTGTACTTCTATTCGTTCTTTTAACCACTCTCTTTTTCCCGAGATCAAAGCAATGGCGCGAAACACACGCAGACACATTGAATATAACAAGTATCGCAGGCGGAATAGCAATTGGGTCTTGGATCAACAGTTTAACCGGTATGCTTATACCATACACCGGATCATTACCGTATGTACTCGCTCTACCAAGTCTTTATGTCGTTTTGGTAATTGTACTTCGGATGGTTGCTGGTATACCGCTTCTTTTGGTTTTGGATATAATTTTGACGTATTGTATACGCAACGGAATGGCTCGCGTGTTGGGTGTACCGTTAAATAAGAGCACAAAGAGGTTACCACTTATAGAGTTACCGCACCGGTTTGGAGCTTACTTCACAATGACAGTTGCTTGTGTATCTATCACACCTCTGATCTTTCAGTATTTGGGTCTCGACCCATCTGGTCCATATATGGACTTGTAAGCATTCAAGTTCTATTCCATACACGGATTTGTAAGCATTCGAACACTGTTCGATGTACGGACTTAAGCGTTCAAGTAAAGCAATCAATGACATTCATACAGTATATGACCTTTTAATTTGTAATACTGTAGATAATCTTTAAAATGTTTGAAATAATTTATTCTAAAGAAAGATAAAGTAGAACCTCTTCCTTTGGCAAACACCTATTAAGAGCAAACCACTATTAAGGGGACATTACAGCTAACGCCCATTCAAGGGATACCCCTATAAACGGACATTTAATTGGTCCCGAAGGTGTCACCTTTATAGGGGTTCTACTTTAAATTTGTGTACAAATGCTAGTCTGAGAAGCCTGTAAATACAGTTAAAAATTGACAAATTGTCAGAGTTTGATGAACTAAATATGTGTGGTAGGCTACAGAATACCAGGGAGTTGTTATAAATCCCTGAGAATACCAAGGATATGGAGATACGAACAGTATTATTTCAGCTCAGAAAGGACTATATACATGTTTATAAAGAATTCTGAGGGCATATTTGTCTTTATGTCTCAGAAAGGGGAATGAATTCTGCAGATAGTGGAGTTGATCGACTCTGGGCTGGGTCCAGGGTAGGTTTCCAGTGTCTTTTTTTTTATAGTTATTACAGTGCTGTACAGTAGATCCACTAAATACATACAGGTCTTCCCTCCAATTAAAGACCACATTTGGGACCAGAGCTCCCATTAATTAGAATAATAAAGACATTTGTTAATTTGGGACCACAGAAAAGTAGTCTTTAATTGGAGGGTTTTTAATTGGAGGAGACGACCTGTAATATTACTTAAGTATTCTTTTTTTCGTTAACCAGCATTCATGTTTTTTAGGATGTCATCACATTATTTGTGGCTAGAATCGTCTGTTTATTGTGTCGTACCTAAAATGTGTAAAAGGTTGATCACTGAAATACAGTATCAAGGTATACGGTACGCACTCTCTAAACAAAGGGGTTTATTCTCCTCTAAGTGTGCCCCAGGTCAAATATCTCTCAAGTTAATTTATCCATTACCATTTAAAAAACAACAATAAAAACTGTATGATATTAGAACTCTACAAACATACTGTACGGTACAATGTAATTCATGTTTATCTAAAGTGTTGACTCGTATGTAATTTACAATGCTAATGTTATCTAGTCTCAATTTATTGGTTGGTTCAAACACCGAATGTACAGTAATGCACTCTTGATAATTCTAGATCTGATAATAGCCTCAAGAACATGATATGCATTACTATGTTAATGTGATTCAAGTTACACTTTAGTGTGGTTTGTCTACTGGACAGAAAAATACATTATAATGGGGCAATTAATGTTATTATTCTAACTACCTGTAATTAGGTATGGAATGAATTGTATCAATTGATATTAAATTTTATGTGTTGTAATTACTCAATACCATGACTACCATTCAGTGTACGTATTAAGTTATATAATGTTATGTATAATTTAATATATTTTATTATGAGTAAAAATATAAGACTTCAGTTCTATTTAAAAGGACCAATTTCAATAGCTACAGTATGTAAACACATCTTTCTTTAAATCTTCTCAAAGCTATTTTAAAAAGCAATAACTGGTGGACAAGTTTGTTGTGGCATTATTTGTGGCATTATTTGAAGTATTATATAGTGTTGAAATATAATTATTTTGTATATTATCTCAACCGCTACTCAATCTGAGCATTAGACTCAGTGGTGGTGCTAGTGAGAATGGACTAGAGGCCCAAGTCCCCATTGGCCACAATGTTGACCAAGAAAGAATTTTTCTTCTAATTGGGCATAAAACGTGCTAAACCTTCTCAGACTCCGGAGAAAAAAAAATGTTGATATGTTGTAGAACTATTTATATACTGCAAGACAGAAAAGGCAAATTTGACGAAAAACTGTGGAACAGTGAATGAGATACAGCTTTTTGAATATTTAAAAACTGAGGAAAAAAGGTTACACCTATTTTCCCCTCCCCCCCCCCAGTCTTTTAAATATTCAAAAATCTGTACCTCATTCACCGTTCTCAAGTTTTTTGTCTGAACAACTTCTTTCTGTCTTAGAAAATCAGTTCTACAACATATCAAAAACATTTTTTCCCCTGGGGTCTGACCTTAAAATGGCCCAAAAATTGCCCAGTTTTTCTTGCAAATTCTGGTGCCATCATTTGATCATCATCATCATATTTCAAATTGGTAAATTTGTTAAATTTATAGATGTTGTTTATAACTGTACAGTATGCCAGTTCAAATTACATTTCTGTTTATATAATATGAATGGACAATAAAGAATTCCCTCCTTTCCCCTTCCCCCCCCCCCCCCAGTCTTTTAAATATTCAAAAATCTGTACCTCATTCACCGTTCTCAAGTTTTTTGTCTGAACAACTTCTTTCTGTCTTAGAAAATCAGTTCTACAACATATCAAAAACATTTTTTCCCCTGGGGTCTGACCTTAAAATGGCCCAAAAATTGCCCAGTTTTTCTTGCAAATTCTGGTGCCATCATTTGATCATCATCATCATATTTCAAATTGGTAAATTTGTTAAATTTATAGATGTTGTTTATAACTGTACAGTATGCCAGTTCAAATTACATTTCTGTTTATATAATATGAATGGACAATAAAGAATTATGACTATGCCTTATCATTATAGGCCCAGGCTATAATAAACATAACGTCATTTTAAACCAGTGATAAAACATACATTTTATTGTTTGCATAAGTCAACTTCCTGATACAAAAACAAATATGGCCACTACTTGGATCACAAAAGATTTTTTTTTGAATTAGGGATAATACATGCTAAACCTCTGAACAGCTTGAAATGCACCAGAAATTTGTCAAAATCCTAACACCATCATTGAGTAAAGCTATAATAAGATCAAGATCATTGTTAAAAATTATGAAACAATAATTTTATTTTAATTTAATGTTAAGTTCTGCTGTATTTGACCAGCAGGTTAAATTTTAAAAGTGTATGTTTTACCAGCTATAACTCAAATATGCTTGCCCTTAAAATTAGGGTTGGAGTGCAGAAAATCCAGAATTTGTTTAACGAGGGAAAACCAATTTAATATAGGTCTAGATGTAACATAATTATACAGTCATAAATTAGTATTCAATGATTTATGTTAAATATTTGTTATGAAAAATATTGTAACATTTAGTATCTGCATGCCATTTCTGTTAAAAAATAATGATGGCAGTGGCAAAACCTGGGGGATATATCCCCCTCCCTAACTTCACTCCTGGAATGGGTGCAGTACTACTGTAATACAAAAATAAGGGTTGGAGAACTCCTTTCCTCAATGTGTTAATGGACCATATACTACAATTATATTTTAAATGTTTACATTCGATTTTTTCCCTTAATTTTCCCCCTTTTTTTATTTCCGATGTTTTCAGTGTTCATACTTAAATATAAATAAAAGCTGCAAGAATTACTGTATTGTCTTGACTTGACCAATTTTTTTGAAGCTTTTTGGTGTAAACTTGTTGAATTTAAGTAAAATACTACTGAATATAATTTGTTGAATTAATACAACTGGTTGAACCATATTCATATATACTGTGTGTTTTCAGATGATAAAACAATGAAAGAAAAACAGTGATGTATCATTGAACAATTATTAATGTAGGCCCATTGTGTATCCATAAATGTATGTACCAACACGGAGTAAAAGCTTGAGGTATTTTAATTGAAAACTTCCTTGTTCTGTGATTTTCTTCGTAATTGTTATTGAAGGGTTGATGTGGCGATATGCCAGCTTACATTAAACAAACACCTGCTGTAGCACTCATACTGATTAGTTCTGTCAGAAAGGGTGATCTTTAGACTGCCACATTTAAGGGGGGAGGGGTGCCAACTTACATTAAACCAACACCTAGCACCCACACTGACTAGTTCTGCCATTAAAGGTCATCTCTAGACTGCCACATTCAATTGTGGTATGTGCACTGTAGCATATAACCAAACAGGGGTAAAGTTTTTGGTGCATTAGTATTCAAATTTTGACCCTTTCACACAAAAACATGAGGGAACTTCAACATTTACCAATTTTTCAATATTTGAACCAGGTTTTGCTGATCTCTTATCTCTATTAATTACTGCTTCAGGGAATTTTGTAAACAAGATTAACAGTGAAGCTCATTAGTTGTGGATAGTTCATAAGACTAGCACAATTAAATCAAAAACCATGTTGTAACTTCTAACATAAGCCATTGATTTTTAAAATTAAAAAGCATATCTATTATGATTTTTATCTGAAATTATAGCTAAGGTAATAAAAATGCCAAATATTTTTGAACAGGTTTTTAAAATTTTTCAGCCTGGTTTTTAAATACTATACTGGTAATTTATTGAGAAACAGCAATGCCTGCTGTGATAATGATTCTTAAGTAGAGATATTCTTCTTTGATTTTTAATTGGATTATTGAGATAAGATTCTGGCAAAAACTGGTTCACTAACCCGCCAAAATGCCCTTTTAAAGGGTTTGCTGGTAAATGGGATAGTAACAGCATGAGCATCAGAATACGGCAGTATTTGATATGATATCAGGCGCGGATCCCGTAGGAGGGCACTAAATTTTGAAATTATGCCGGTAATGGTACCGGCATTATTGCTGCAATGTTGTATTTGAAAGTGGCTGTACAGTTATACCAGCGACCTTCCAAAGGAGTGACCTTGAGTTTATAATCATGCTTTCTTATCAATCAATTATGGAAATTTCCAAAGATAACACTGGAAATAGTGGCTGAATGAGAAGGGGTGTGTGAAAATGAATTTGCCATTTCTTGGGATATCAATCTAAAATAGTTCTAAACTGCAGCCATGCCCACTAGTGTTTCCTCATTTCATTCAAGATCCGTTGAATCTGGGACTTACAGGTATGTACTGAGTCATCATCATCATAGGCTGTATGTTCTTAAGTCAACTTCCTGCTAAATAATTGAACCAAATATGGAAATTAAATACACATATGCCTGGGTTAGACGATTCCATTTTTTTTTTTTTTTTGCAAGTGCAAGTTCCAACGGAAACTTGGCTTATATTGGTTCATCCGGATAAGTATTCATGAAATAGACATAGAAATTAAATACATATATGCTGTACTTTCTTCGTATCCCAAGCACTGATCACTCAGCTAATATCCCCTATTAATATTATACATCTCCTTAAACACACACATATCTCCTCTCTACCTCACACAGAATGAATTTTCATTTGAAATGTAGTAAACAAAGTTATTCAGTATATCTTTGGTAAAATCTTCAATACAATTTCAATTGTAACTATATTACATATTTTCTACTTGAACTTTGACCCAGTTTTTGCTGATATACTGTACTTATCTAATCTGACCTGTATGTAAAAGCAGTTGTACCCTTAATTTTATCAGGCTTCTCATTGGTAGACACAAGGAGGAAATATTAAATTCCTCCATGGTAGACCAGAGAGGTACCTCCATGCATGGAGGAAATATATTAATATATTTCCTCCATGGTAGACCAAATTGTATCAAACAATAATAAAACTGGCTCCAAGGTCGGCTAGAAGAGTTGAAATTTGCAAGGTTGAATTACTGATCCAGAACGTAACAAGGAGTTTCGTATAATAATACAACAGTCAGATGCATCTGTTTTATATGGTATAAGGCAAAGGTAGTCCTGTATTCATTACTGAATATAGGGGGAATAATGTGTTTGCCCAGCGTAATAAGCCTTGACATTGTGTTGTAGGGTGGTCAGTTCCATTTCACACTGCCTTTTTAACCTCCCCAGTATATTTCAACCAGGTACCCATTTATACTTCTGGGTGGAGAGAGACAAACGCAGGCAAAGTGCCTTGTCCAAGAACACAAGCAAAATGCACAGCGAAGGTTCGAACCCTCGACCTCAAGACCAAAACATCACTGCTGTGCCAACCACTCCCGCATATCATATATATACATACATAAATAAAATATATATATATATATATATACATATACTGTATAAGTCAAATATAAAACATGACTACACATCATTATATCATATATATATATATATATATATATATATAACTGAAGTAAACTATCGCAATTATTACAAGCAGAGTGCTCAATGGTAGACCAGAGCGGATATAAATGAATAAAAAGCGAGGTTCAACAGTAGCTTTGATCTAAAAAGAACAAATATATAAGAGAGAGGCCTTTTTGTTTATATAGTCAATGCTCATATTTAAAACAAAAACAATAATAAACAAGAATAGGTTGGATTAACAGCATAAAAAGGGGTCACCTATTTACAAATTTTAAACTTCATATTGATAAATGACAATAAATAAACAAACTGTTACTGTGCTCTATATATACGTCTTTTATTCACACCAAAACCTGTCTCTTATACACATCTAGATGTGTATAAGAGACAGGAATAAGAACATGTGTTTAGACATGCATAAATTATACTGCAGAAGTAAATATTTGTGAAACAAAGTACATCACAAGTATAGTATGAAACTCTGAACTACCAGCTGTTGCAGTCAAAATTACATTCATCAATAAAACTATTTGCAGAGTAGGCCTACACAACAATGGTCCACTGCAAATTGTTATAAATAGCAGAGCTATAAAGTTTTTTTAAATGCTATCTACCTTTATTACATGCTGAAAAGTTTGCTCAACTGCTACGCTTATGAATATTTCTGTTTATGGAACGTTCTGGAGAGACAAACTATACAATTGACCAATCAAAAAACAGGTCATTCTACCAACACTCACGCAGTTGTCTTGCCGCACCTTTAGCAACAATATCCAACGGCAGGGGCATAGCAGAACGATCCACATTAACAACCGAAATCTGGCTCTAAAGACCATCTCACCAATCTCAGTCAGTCTACATAGTGACAAATGAAACTTTTAATTTTTTTTTTCCATATATATTTGATCTGGTATTATCTCTCTCCACTGTCGCTACTTTTTGATTCAGGGGAATCAAATATTTTCAATGGATCGATGTTCAACTTTTCCCACGGATTGAAATTTATCAGACGGCAGATCCCAATGGAAAACAAACCTGGAAAAAATATGGAGAAAAACATTTTTGGTAAATCATATTTACTTTTGAGAGATCATTAAAATATTCTTTTAATATAGGTTAAAAAACATAATGGTATGTTTCTGAATCATGTTAAAAAATGACTGGAAATTGAAAAATCGCAAAAATAAAAAGCTACGAAATATTTCAAATTGAAAAATCTCGAAAATAAAGGGCCGCGAAAATGAAGGGCTTTACAGTAGCCATGTTAACATATCAATGTTAATTTAAGTGAAATGAAATTATAAACCACAGGCCATTTTACCACTAAGCTACCACCAGACTCTACATTTGTATCATTCAAACATTAAACTCACATGCAGTGGCAACAACAGAGGGCACTCTACTAAGTCTAGGATACTTAGCGGTCTGGTGTCGTTTCTTTCCAACATACGCTATATATATACCAGTTAATATGGCTCCACCAGCTCCTACTAATCTACATTCTAAGCATTCATCAACATCTAAATTGTTGAAACTTTCGAGTCGTTCAGCAAGGTCCTTCTTACTTTTCTCAAGAACTTTACCAAGATCGCTCATGTTTTAATCTGTTGAAAAAAAACCACAAAAATCAAACAGTTACTAGTACATTATTAATATATAGAAGTAAAAAAAAATAATATTGAAAATAAAGTAAATATTTATCTAAAAAGAACAAATATATAAGAGAGAGGCCTTTTTGTTTATATAGTCAATGCTCATATTTAAAACAAAAACAATAATAAACAAGAATAGGTTGGATTTACAGCATAAAAAGGGGTCACCTATTTACAAATTTTAAACTTCATATTGATAAATGACAATAAATAAACAAACTGTTACTGTGCTCTTTATATACGTCTTTTATTCACACCAAAACCATGCAAGCAAGTTGAGTGACTGGCAAACAGGTCACGTGAACTCACTGATGCTGACCTCAGGTCAAATCAACATTTATAAACATTATCACATACTACTACAGTAAAGTTTGATATTATTATATTATAGAGTAGTAGAAAACGCCTAAATATTTTCTGCAAAATTTGCATGGAAATTGGCCCATACTTTTGCGATGTGCGGACAGAGGCCTAACGTTTTGCATGAGGGAGGGATATATATTCCTGTTCGGACTAGGGCCTATAGGCCTCATCAGCTGGGCCTAGGCCCTACCTAACGTTTATCTGGCATTTTAGCCCAGAGCTAGCTCCCTACCAGTACTCTAGGACATAGGCCTACACTACTTATAGTATATTCTAGGCCTAGCCTAGCTAGGCAACCTGGACATAGGCCAGCACTCCTCCCTATCCCAAATAAGTAGGCCTCGACTAGGCTAGCCAAGGAGTCATTGCACGTCTGCACTTTTTCCTTGAGGAAGGGGAGCGGCTAAAGGACTAGTAGTAGGCCTAGCTAGGAGAACTTTGCTTTCACACCCACCACTTTGCCACCTGGCCGCCATGCGCATGTGTTTGTTTTTAAAAACGCCCTCTATTGGCTCATTGTTTCTTGGGACGAACAAACACACTAGGAAAATTTTACATAAATTAAAATACGAAAGAAGAGGATGAGGATGTTATGATAAAAAAAAAGTAGGTGATGGATGTTGTGGTAATGTGATTTAAGGTATTGATTTTCTATATTTAACGCTTTTGCAACATTATGTGTTATTATTTAGCATCTGAAAACTGTTTAAATTCAGAAAAGAGTAGGCCTACTTTTGTATTAATTGATTGATGGTGATGAACATGATCATCATCGTTGTTGTTGTGTGTCATACTTGCTTGATGGGGGATCAAAACAGATATATACGATCGATGACATGTAGGCTCTGTAAAATAGCCTCGGCGTTATAATGATGAATGTAGAATCTGGATAGGCCTAGCTTAATCATGAAAAATTCAGGGTAAGTAGAACGACAAAATATTTAATAATATTTTAGGTTTTAACTTTTTTCATGTTAACCAAGTTAAAAACATTATTGTGTCCAGAAAATATATGCATCATTCATAAATTCTTTAAATTGTTAGACCTAGCTAGTATGGTATATAGTTTTAATGAAAGTCAAACCATGGTTTGTCTTTTACAAACAATGGTTTGTCATTTTTACAAACCATGGTTTGTCCTTTTATCAAAGAAGAAACGTGGTTTGTCTTAAACCATGTTTAGTCTTCCGTGTGTCGGACTGTGCCCTGTAAGTTTCTGTGCATGTAAGAATGTTGTTGAGTTCTCATTGTTGTCCAGATTGTCGGACGCAATCTGCCCAAAATCTACATTTTGAAGAATAATCACGATTGAGTGAATCCCTCTAAGGTTACATTGTTGTGCAAATCGAAAGCTCCCTTGTCTCATATACACAGTGACACAGTGACTGAAAACGATGGACACACTATTCATACATTTATGCAAAATTTGATTTTAAATGTTACAAGCCCATTCTTTTTTTCAGTTAAAGAGATATTTATTGGCCTTTTTCGAAACATGGACTAAGGAAGACCGTCCCCCTTCCCCACCAATCCAGCCAAGGGCCAGGATTAGTACCACCCCAAAAAAGCAACAAGAAGTAACATTAATAAAAATTTCAGTCCATCCATTTTCTTTTGGCTGCGTATAATTGTTCCGAGGTGTTGATTGGTGGAGCTGGCTTGAATTTAGCCTTAACTCGGTATTCTTAAAACGAACTTTAGTCGCAGTTCGAGTTAAAAATTACTTCATTTCGTATTCTTAAAACAAACTTCGACTAGCCTGTCTCTTATACACATCTAGATGTGTATAAGAGACAGATATATATACCAGTTAATATGGCTCCACCAGCTCCTACTAATCTACATTCTAAGCATTCATCAACATCTAAATTGTTGAAACTTTCGAGTCGTTCAGCAAGGTCCTTCTTACTTTTCTCAAGAACTTTACCAAGATCGCTCATGTTTTAATCTGTTGAAAAAAAACCACAAAAATCAAACAGTTACTAGTACATTATTAATATATAGAAGTAAAAAAAAATAATATTGAAAATAAAGTAAATATTTATCTAAAAAGAACAAATATATAAGAGAGAGGCCTTTTTGTTTATATAGTCAATGCTCATATTTAAAACAAAAACAATAATAAACAAGAATAGGTTGGATTTACAGCATAAAAAGGGGTCACCTATTTACAAATTTTAAAGGGGGGGGGGGTCGACCGCACCCATCGACCCCCCCCCCACGGTACGTCCCTGATTGGTTTGTCATTTTTACAAACCATGGTTTGTCCTTTTATCAAAGACGAAAGGTGATTTGTCTTAAACCATGTTTAGTCTTCCGTGTGTCGGACTGCGCCCTGTAAGTTTCTGTGCATGTAAGAATGTTGTTGAGTTCTCATTGTTGTCCAGATTGTAGGACGCAATCTGCCCAAAATCTACATTTTGCAGAACAGTCACGATTTAGTGAATCCCTTCTAGGGTTACATTGTTGGGCCAATCGAAAGCTCCCTTGTCTCATATACACAGTGACTGAAAACGATGGACACACTATTCATACATTTATGCAAAATTTGATTTTAAATGTTACAAGCCCATTCTTTTTTTCAGTTAAAGAGATATTTATCGGCCTTTTTCGAAAAACATGGACTAAGGAAGACCAGTGGCCCTTCCCCACCAATCCAGCCAAGGGCCATGATTAGTACCACCCCAAAAAAGCAACAAGAAATAACAGTAATAAAAATTTCAGTCCATCCATTTTCTTTTGGCTATGTATAATTGTTCCGAGGTGTTGATTGGTGGAGCTGGCTTGAATTTAGCCTTAACTCAGTATTCTTAAAACGAACTTTAGTCGCAGTTCGAGTTAAGCTTGATATATCCTCGTGTTAAACAAAAGAGACATCAAGTTCAGCTTCTAAAAGGAGAAATTAACATGTTTCTTCCAGCCACATGCGATAGTTCCTGATTTGCACGAAATCCTCTCGCGCTGCGGTCACGTAGCTTCGCCATAACAACAACAAAGATGGCGCCGCCCTCGCTCGGGCTCAACTATAACAGTTCTCCAAAGAAAGCAAATTTTCAGTGACTGTTCAAATTCTCTATCGTGATATGTTAACAACTAATATAGTTATTATTATACAAAAATTATTTAAGTGAATGATGATCTATTATGAATTATGAGGAAATACGTTTTTGAACCACAGACGGCAGCTTAATATTCATCCGCATCTCTAAAATTTCGTCTGCTATTAAAAATAGCTCTTTTCATTGGTTAGTTTGATAGTTGTTGCTTGCCAGTCATCTTCAGTTGAACTAAAACTAGAACTTGATTTAGTCGTAGTTAAAACTTCGACTACATTGTTTGTGAATACAAATTGAGGTTGAAGTTGAAACTAGCACTAAATGAAGTTCTATTTCGAATTTCGACTAAAGTTTGTTTGAAGAATACGGGCGTTAAACTTCTTGCTATAATTAAATGCACTACGCCATGTCGGAAGGATATACATGGTGTTTTCTTTTTTGTGTACCGGACATTACATAATTTTTTCTTTCTTTACAGATTTTGGCAATTTTTGTGGTGCTAAAATACAAACAATATAGAAGAGAATGTTGCTATGAAATATTTCAACAGTGATTTTAAAATTTGCATTGGTGCTATTAAACAACAGTCATGTCAACAAAATCCGAACAATGTAAGTATTGTAGATATTGTGCCTCAGTTATAAAAACAGAACTCTATTGAAACATGGGGAGTAATGATGATTAGTAGAACAGCAGTTAGTCGATGCTCATGCATTTTTTAACCATAATGCTTTGAAAACAACATTAAATTTTCATTTATGCTACTGTATCAATGAGATTGCTTACTCCAGTACATTCAGGCCTCTAATATAAAAGCTTTAATCTAATACCCTTTTTACACTGCAAGAAAAACTCCGGACACAACCCGGGATTTGCAATACCCTAACTAGAAACTTGTGAGTTTTGGTTATAGTGTAAATGGCAACAAAATATGACTCGGGCCGGGGTTTGATATGCGGAACGCATTCAGCATTGGACAACACTAGAGTTGCCAGTGTAAACAACACCGAATTCGATATGTCTGTATAGACAAAATTGCTGATTTAATTTGCATAATTTAAAAATTCTTCCGATACATTGCTTCAGTATTGAAAATAATTGCGGCTCCATAACGACTCGACCGAAATCATGATCACCATGGAAACAAAAGTTGAGAGCCGTATTTTAACCAGCGTTCATTGCCGGTGTAAAATGGGTGCAACTCAAGATCAACCCGGACATTTCTTTTGATGTCAATAGAAATGCATCCAGTGTCTTTGATGTCTACTCTGATCTTGAGTAAAATGGGTATTATTCACCATGCAGATAGCAATTTAATTGTACAACTGTAAATTTATAATTTTTCAAATTTATTGTACAGTCATTCTAGTACAAATTAAAACATTTTGGCCATGCAAGATTTAAATGTGTACTGTAGATTTTGTTTACACACAATACTGGCCTTTTCATCTGACATTGGTCTAGTTAATCCAGACTTTTAGTTTTAAAAACAATTAATTTATGAATCCATGCATTTTTTTTTATGCTTTGTTTCTCGATAGTCTCAAACAAGATCCGTAACTTGACTGATTATCAAAACCGTGTCATCAACAATGCAGTGCCAAAACCAAATGGAACAGATATTGCTAATACCCTTAAGTATTTTTCCCATACACTTGGCAAGTAAGTTACATTCAGAAGGGTGTAAATATTTTGAAATAAAATTTGCTTTTATTTTAATTCCCATTTATAAATAACTATTCCTTTCTTGTTGACATGTTCATAATTCACATTGTGGCAATAAAAAAACAAACATATTCTTGTGCTTGACTATAAATTGTAATTTTTTATTTTTTTATTTTCCAGCATTTTACAGAATGCGGCAGAAGAATGCAGCTCTGTGAAGCATATACCACCACGACGTCGTGTGAACGCAAGACTTTCTAATTATCCGAGCCTCGACTACAACCAATTCTACGAAACATTAGTTGGACTTATAGATATCGTGGAGAAGATAGAGTTTGGCCAATATGGTATGTACAGTATATGATATTGAGGCAAAGCATATTGAATCTGTAGAAGAGGTTACCGGTATGCTAATGTAATTATGCAGGATGATGCATAAATCAGATGTTGGTACTCAAGAGATCTATGTTCATATAGCCATGTTTACATTAATATTGATAATGTTTATTCTCTATCTCATTATATCATAGAGTAGCAAGTCTTTTCTTTACCTTTCATTTAATATTGAAATATTAAAATAATTCTCACACAAATTTTAATACCTCTTGCTATTTTTGTGTATATTATTATTTTATAGATGCAATGAAAGTCTGTGATTTTTGATGTACCTGTTTCCTTATTTTACTATTTTTTATTATTTTTATTTTATTATTATTATATATTATTATATTTTTATCATTATTATATATCAAAAATTATTTTCTACATTAATATTTTTTTGAACTTGAGATTAAACCAGTGTTTCTATCACCACAGCTTATACAACCATAGCTTTGTTAAATATGACTTTCATTCATTTGTACTCCAGTGCTTGGAAATGCTATCATATCACTATTTGGAACCATCATGTGGTTTGTGGATCCAGAAACCGTTGATACTATTCCACATACCGTAGCATCCACGCTGGCGATCTTCCCGCAGGACCTACAAAAGACGACCGTGAACCTACTAACAAGCCAATTGATACCAGTAGCCTTGAGTACGTAACATTCACAGTTTTATTTATGAAAGTTCATTTATATCTAAACTTTTACTTATTAAATGTGATTCAATTTTGTTTTTACTTTTTTACTTAATCTTTACTATTATCATTAATTTCTTTTACCTTAATTATTTAAACAAAATTTTTGATTTCAGCTGAAGTGCAGAATATTGGCGAGGAAAACTACGCTAACATGTCAATGGTAACTGTTATCATGCTGGTGTTGGAACATTGTAAGCATCCTGGTGAGTTTTAGTGGTCATTATTTTATATATTGTATGTATATATATAAAGATTAGTTTTGGCCTTCCTGTTTACTTGTTTAGGCTGTTTATTCTAATCCCACCTAGCCTAGCCTATTGTTTCTAATCATGCTTGCATGAAATTCTCACTTTATACTTTCTACATATTATTACTAAGATGTGTATAAGAGACAGGTGTAATCATGTAAGCTATAGCCTCAAATTTTTAATCATTTTTTTTCTTGGTGGCCTAAGCTTAAGTGTCTTTGAAACTATATAGAAATCCTTTCAACTTATTGGTGATGGAAAATTTTTTTTTTAAATAGTTTTTGCAAAATTTTGCACATTTTGATATTCTTAAACTTGGCACTTTTGTTTTCCAGCTCTCCAAGCTAAAACAATTGAGTGTATCATGACGTACAAGAAAGATGTGTTTAAGGTAAAAGTCACTTATTGCGTATACAACTCAATTTTCTAAAGCTGGTTTTACACTAGGTGAATTTACTTGCGCGAATCGAAAGTGTTTGTTTCCTGAGATCTGATTGGTTGTGCATTTTTTTGCTTCGCAAAAGTATATACAGTTCAAACTACTGATTTCGCTGAAGCAAAAAACTCCCTATAGAAATGTGAATGTGCATGTTCATAAAACGACGCTTTCGATTTGTGTGAATAAATTCGCTTAGTGTAAAACTGGTTTAATCCTCACAATGAGACAGACTGTGTAGAGAAATTATGGGCGTATGTTTGGTGAAAGGGATTGCTCGTTGTTTGGCATATCTTGGCCATTGTGTCTAAAGTTGAATAAAGAAAACTGAAGTAATGTTTAAAAAAAATCTTTAGGCTCTTTGAAGTCGGTCATACATTTATCTTTAAATAATATGGTGAGCTGTACTAGTCTTAACAGTAATCAAACAATAAGAAAATGGTAGCACTTTATAGACTAGTTGAAATATGTATAGTCAAAAGGTCTGAAACAAAAGGCAAGAATATAAACAATAGAGGTATTAACATAACAATGAAATCATTCCCTGTAGTGGGCAAGAAAGCCTAGTCTTTGTTTAAACCCAAGTTAACACAGTCAAGTTGCTTAATTATTTTCTGTTCACAAATTTCCCTATCTAGATTGTTCTTAAAATTACCCTTCTTAACTACATTTATCTTTAATTACCTTAGTGTAGTAAAGCCCCTTTCCCCATAATTCATAGTTTTGTTTAGGAAGGGGAGTACGTCTGTATGTGTTTGTGAATGTTGTGGTGCTTGTGGCGAATACTAACAACTCATGATGGTTTCTGAAGAAATAAATGGTTAAATCTGGAATCTTTAATTTAAAATGAACATTTTTTTTTTTCTTTCTATAGGACATGATGTGCACTATAGCCCACGGCCCATCCAAGGCAAGAGCGCACGCTGCCAATCTGCTGTTCTATTACTGGCCCTCTCTCGCCCCCAGCAGAGTTGACCCCAGAGAGTTACCAAACACAGGTACCTTATAATTCATGAATATTCTATAGGATCTGATAATGTATTGTTAATATTGTTTAGATATATATATATCTGTATTGAAATAAAAAAGAACAAAAAGATTTGAACTACAAATATTTTGCTCATCAATAAACAAATGTATTATTAAACATTATGGTTTCTATGTTCTATAAACCCTTAGATTAAACAATAATTGTTTCTTTTGTTTAATTTTTATTTAAACATATTACTATTTATCTCCAGCTGCTTGGGAACCAATCGTGTGTCAAAGGAAAGACTGCTTGATACCTACCAACAATGCTGCCCTCAAGGTAAATTATTAATCTCTAATTTTTTTTGGTGTATTTTCAATTACATTTTTCACGTGTTTGAATTGCATAGAGACCCATAGAGCTATTAAACAACTAGAGTGCTGACAAGATGGCGGAGCAATGCAGAGTTGTGTATGTGTACCATCCAAAATGGCTGCCGTAGGAAAGCGCCTCCTTCAGGCTTAGTATACATATTATTACTATAAATAAGCCCACATTATTTCATTAATGATAATTAGTATTGATAATGACAAATTATTGAACTGTCTTAGCTAAAAAAGATGCCAAGTAGGATCTTATTCAAATATTTAAAAAAAAAAATTAAAATCGTTTACATTACACCCATACACCGCAACGCTTCGAATTCGAACATAACGGTAACCAGCTGTACTGAATGTTCTGTGTAAATTGAGGGTGCCATTGAAAATGATAGTGCTAAGGCATAATTTGATTGGCTGAATCTATGGCAGCCATCTTGGATGGTACACACACACAGTTCTGCGTATTTCGAACATCGAATGCATTGCTGTTAGCGCTCTAGTATTCTTATTATACCTCTATGTAGAGACCACAGTAATTTGCACATTATAACCTGTAACCTTTAATCTCCAAATCCAGACTCTGTTGTATGTAATGCTCATTGTGTTTAATTAATTATTTATTTTTAAGATGTGTATGGACTTTGGAGTGGCTGGTAAATACAGCAATAACCCTGCACCCCCAGTGTACCTGTGTTCAGACTGCTGTGAATTGGTTACAAGGTAAGGCACAGAAATATCTTAAATGAATGTGTGTGGAAGGATACATATTTGTGGGGAGGAAAACGTACCGTATACAGTATACTCACGTATAAGACGAGGTGTAAACTAGCAAATTACGATCGAAAAACAGGGGTTCGTCTAATGCACACGACATACAAGTATTAGATTTTTTAAATCATGTTCGTTTTATGTGCAGATCGTCCATAACGTGTAAATTTACTACTGTAATTAACCTACTTAATGTTAGTATGGAATGAACGTTAGTATGAATGATTTTGGTTAACATTTTAAAAAGCCCATTAAATTTTATTATTTTGAAGATTAGCCCTACATTTGGCACCGTTTTTAGCCATTAGCCAGGTTGATGCAGTATCAAGGGGTCATCTTATACGCCTGACATACAAAAATTGCCCAGAAATCTTCACAAACTCAGGGATCGCCTCATATGCGAGTATGTACGGTACATGGGTTTGTGGGGAAAAGACATGTTTTGGTGTGTATTTGTGAAAGGAGTTTTATGTGTATTTGTGTTTACTGAGATTTATTTAAAAGATTAGACCTGTTTTTGAAATAAATATGGTGTCTGTCGAAATGTTTAAAAAATGTTATTTAATTGAAGGGAAACCCACAAGCCACTTGTTCCAGTCCTAGGTCCAAGAGAAGTTATTTCTAAAGAATGTGAAAATAAGGTGAGACTAGTATTAGGCTGAATGTTGATAAAAATGATAATAATAAAAATTAGTTCAGAAATAACAAGTGATCTAGGAAGACTGCATGTCGTTGTTGCGGTTCCATTATTAGTTGCATGTTGCCAAGTTTATTTGTCCATGATTTAAAGTGAACTTAAAATCTGTCGTAGCAGAAATTCTGACCAATGAGAAACAAGCTAACAACCCTATGCTTATTCAATGTAGCTATAATTTGATTACTTTTATCAGTCATGATGATCTGTTTCATTGTTTTAAATCTAAACTGAACATTATTTGTACTCTCGTCAATCGTGTACTGCATCACAGATAATAATAATAATGTTGATGTTAAAAATGATGATGACAGTGTTCATAAAGATTACTGATGACAACTATGGTGATGGTGCTGTTAGTAATGATGATTACCGTAAATGCTTGAATAAGTGCCACCCTCGAATAAGTGGCGCACCAAACATGATTTTTTTCTCTAAGCGCTGCTCTGGATTAAGCGCGGTGGGGCTTAATCGAGATTATATATTTAACACTGTGTGTAATGAAACTCTTTGAGAAACAAGGTTTTAAATACAATGTATACAGGGTTAAAATAAAAATAAATAAGGCAATGAAGACACAAGCATTTCTTTATAGACGTTTATTTATGATGACGTAGACCTATGGTAGGCCTACTGAACTACAGGAATATGTGAGATAGTTAACATGAGAAAGGGTATGGAAAGCGCCACTCCATTATTTTTTTCTAAGCGCTGCTCTAGAATTAGTGTCGCACTGAAGCCTCCAAAAAGTTTACAATCGCCGTGGCGCTTATTCAAGCATTTACGGTAGGCCAATAATAATTGGGTGATGATGGTGATAGTGGTGATGATAAGGATAGTGATGATTGTGATGATGATAGTGATAAAGATAATGTTAATGATGTTGCCTTATGTAACTAACGAGTGGTTTCTAATTATCACCAGAATTGTCAGTCAACAGACCGAGCGGTCACATTTGTATGTTTTTCACCGGCTTGTACAAGTCTACACAGTCATCGTCCAATGAGCTACTGCAAAGCTTGTTTCTCCTATAATCACAAAGAGGCTGTCAATCACATCTTCCAGGAGTTCCCAGAAGATCCCTGGGCAAGGGAAAAGGAGATGCAGTCCTATTTCACAGAGGCCATTGTCAGGTTAGTCCAGTTTTGATGATCAATCAATTAATCAGTTAACCAATCAACAAGGATTATATAGCACCAATATACATTACAGAATGCAATGCTCAGTGGCGGCGGCACTTTGACATTGGTATATACTCAAAGTGCACTTAATGAGATTACTATGGTGAGCGGTTCGGCGCACCAGTTGCAGTTCTGCTCAACGTTGAGGTCTGATGTTCAATCCCTTGCTGTCTATTTCACTTGTGTTCTTAGGCAGGGCACTTTATCTACAGTGTCTCTGTCTTCCCATTAGTACAAGTGGGCACCTGCTAGGTTCAAACATAAAATGCACTGATTACAGCTGCAACTTTATGGAATTCTACCCAGGGACCCGAGTATGTGTTGCATATGTGCTTGATCCAATGACCTGGGGTAATAATGTTAAATTTATAGCAGTCACTGCAATATGCACTATATAAGTTGACCATTATTAACGAACTGTAATGATGATGATGGAGATATGCTGATGAGGAAAATAATGACAGAGAAGATGTTCATGAAGATAATTATAAAGGGGAGGATGATTGTGATTATACTGGATGAAAAGTTCAAAGAGCCAACATCGTGTTGTCCGTTGTACACTATAGTAAATTTGCATTTCATCCTTTCATCTGAAACACAAGGAGAGAAATGGTGGATTCATGCTCAGTAGTCACCAGTTTGAAAAATAATTCAAAGGCTTAGAGCACACAGTGGTCCGGCTGAGCTAAGCAGCTCTCTGAAAATAATATATTCTAATTAATGGTTGTTGATTTTAACAGATTGTTAATTTCCCTCTTTTTTTTTTCTTTTTTTTTAGTCTTTTGAAGGAAGCACAACCAGTTGAAGAAGAATTAAAAGCAAGTGGAAATTCCGAGAATGCCCATGAGGAGAAGTACACGCACACGCATGATAACGACGTGCACGAGTCCAAGTTGAATCTTGATGATCCACGCATGCTTAGCCGCTTTGGGATTTGGCTTTTAGTTGAAAAATGTCAACCAAGTGAGAAAGCAGATGGAGAGGTCATAGGTCGACTGTTAAACATGCTGTTTCAGTGGTATTTTTATACATCAAAAGTTCCAGATGATGGTAAACTTTTTTAATGTATATTCGTAATATTAATATTGCAATACCACTGAGTATTATGCTTTATTCATGCTGTTGCATTTGTCTAGATAATGGTTATATTAAGAAGCATTTATATAATGCCTTTACAAAGATATATTCAAAGTGCTGTACATTAAAACTCATTTTTACAAAGATAAGAGCTAAGTGGAATAAAAAATCAGTCAATAAAAATGGCAAATATAAATTATTACATCAATAAAATTTCCTACAAATATGCCATGTTAACGATAAAATAGCAACAATAAAACAACACAAATGCATAAGAAAGATTTAAAAATTATGAACCATTAAAACCCATTTTTACAAAAATAGAAGCCAAGTACAATAAAATATCTCTCAATAAAATAAAATCTGTCAAATACAAATAACTACAGTACATCAATAAAATTTCCTACAAATAATGCCATAAAAGCGATAAAGTAGCAACAATAGAACATCACAAGTGTATAAGAATGATTTAAAAATTATGAATTGGCGAAGTATAGATAAAAATGCAATTATAAAAACTACTCTTTAGGGAAAAGATGTGTTTTTATAAGTGTTTTAAAAGATTGCTCATCTCGTTTTATTCAGGTTATTTTTTCTGATAATAGTAATATTTATATTATTAAGAATATTCATAGGGATCAATTTCAGACCTGATTTATTAAATAAATATAATTTTAATGCTTTAATATGTTTTCCTTATACTTTTAGATGTTGGAAACTGTGTTGAGAAATTGAAGCAAGATGTAAGATGTTTTACTTAACTTAATACAAAATTGAATTTGAATGATTACAGTTTTACTATGACAGATGGTTTCATTGCTAATATTTTACGCTTTTCAACTTCTTTCATATTGTATTACTTTTCAGTATGTTTCTGGTTGGTTATCAAATGTTCGCTCCAACTGTTTCAATGTGTTTGTTTCTTGCTTATTACCTCAACCACCTCAGTATGCAAGAGTCGGAGGTCACTGGTTAGTAAAATTTATCAATCATAAAGATATACTGTATTATTAAAATAGGATGAGACGAGAATCATAAATTTACAAAAATCAACATTTTAGAAATTCAGTTTTATTATTCAATTAAACAATCGTTTCTAATTAATTATTCATGATTTTAATGAATATTCATGGATCTTCCAGGGACACTCTGTGCAGCAAAACTACTGAGATCGAACAAGGACTACAGGTCATCTTTAGTTTGACACTCTACAATTGTGTCACATTTGAGGTATGTCAATGTGTTAATAATATGATGGATAGATAATACGTATGAATGTATAAATGAATAGATATAATATTTCAAGATGTTGCTACCTTGTTTCTCCAGGTTTGGGACAGCATCATGCCACTCTGGATGGAAGCCATCCACAAGAACATCAGTTATGATGATCTGTCTCAACTTCAGGAGATCTTGTGCAAGTTGTTCTCCACTGACATCCCTCTACCCTTCAGCAATGATAAGGTATTCCACTTCATCTCCGTCAACTTCAAAGGACCGAGTACTGCTCAGATGTTTCAGTCTCTGCAATGGCTTCAGGTATGCTGATTTCATTTTTTGTCTTATTTAAAGCGAGAATAATCTGTCCAGTTAAGACATTGGTGGTGTTGTGTCTCTGGTAAGACTTGGACTGTTGAGATGCAGTTCGTCCTACAGCAAATCCTAGCTATTCTAGAAGCCCAAGAACTTGAGACTTTTCTGCCCTTGTGTGGCCAAGGGTCTTTGCTGCCCAGGTGTGGCCAAGTTTCTTTGATGCCCATGTATGGCCAAGGGTCTTTGCTGCCCATGTGTGGCCAAGGGTCTTTGCTGCCCATGTGTGGCGAAGGGTCTTTGCTGCCCATGTGTGGCCAAGGGTCATTGCTGACCATGTATGGCCAGTGGTATTTGCTGCCCATGTGTGTCTAAGGGTCTTTGCTCCCCATGTGTGGCCAAGGGTCTGCTGCCCATGTGTGGTAAATGTCTTTGCTGCTCATTTGTGGCTAAGGGTGTTTGATGCCCATGAGTGGCCAATGGAATTTGCTGTCCATGTGTGGCCAATGGTCTTTGCTGTCCATGTGTGGCTAAGGATCTTTGCTGCCCATGTGTGGCCAAGGGTCTTTGCTGTCCATGTGTGACCAGGGGTCTTTGCTGCTCATGTGTGGCCAAGGGTCTTTGCTACCCATGTGTGGAATTGTGTCTTAGCTGCTCATGTGTGACTAAGGGTCTTTGCTGCCCATGTGTGGCCAATGGTCTTTGCTGTCCATGTGTGGCCAATGGTCTTTGCTGTCCATGTGTGGCTAAGGATCTTTGCTGGACATGTGTGGCCATGGGTCTTTGCTGTCCATGTGTGGCCAATGGTCTTTTCTGTCCACGTGTGGCCAATAGTCTTTGCTGTCCATGTGTGGCCAATGGTCTTTTCTGTCCATGTGTGGCCAGTAGTCTTTGCTGTCCATATTAGCCTATTATGAGCCAATAATAATCAACTTTAAGTTGAAGTTACTCTACAAAGTTACTACTTATACTTATGATTATACCTAGGAATAATTATCTGCAGTACCCTCTGCTACTTGGGGACCAGATTCAACACTAGTCAGTAAGTGAAAGCTAGCTGGTGGTCTAGTGGTTATGACACCAGGCCAGTTATCTGGAGGTCATGGGTTCGATTCTCACCCGAATCACAAATTTTTTTTCGCAAGTATTTGGGACATTAATTAATTGTCTGATTAGATTACATATTAATGGTTTATCTTGTTTGCAAATAATTCAATCTTTATAGATATTGTGTGAATTGGACATATCATTGCCCTTTGACCTTCTGGTGTCAATGTTCAACGATGGTATTACATGGATGAAAGGACCCCACACCAAGCAGCAACAGGAAACTAAGAAACGTTATCCATCACAACCCAGCTCAGGGAGTGTGCAAAGCCCACAACCAGACACCCCCGAAGTAACGGTGGACTCTCCCACTATCCTTAGCATGCAGGATAGTGTTTTCTTAGATCCTGAAGAAGATGTAAATCTCCAGTGCTTTGTGGTGATGTTGGATTTGATCCTCAGAAAGGTAAGCTGCCATAAACGTAGCATGATCTATAAGTTGCAAGAATTAGTTTCTGACTATAAAACTGAACCATTCGCCCTGCTTGAGTGTAATCTGTTTCCTCGTATATCCTTTTTTAATAGAATGTATATAATATGTATATCATGTAGAAATTCTCAGAACATGTAATGTTATATCAACATTAGTCTAACTGATCATGACTAATCATGTTATATTCCATTTCGAAAACTCCTATTCTAAGTGTTACAGCATAACATCTACATGCTATAAGCTTAACTGCTATTTTTAGTGTTTATAATTTTACCATACCAGCAACACAACTATAAAGCCTTTCTAGGTGTATAGATTGACCATGTACATAGGCTTAAGCATGACTACTTGTTAAAGTATCATGCTTCTGCCATATTCATGTTAGTGAAGCATGGCTGCTATTCTAAGTGTCATAGTTCTACCATCTACATACATATTTGCTTAATCATGACTGTCATTCTAGGAATTATAGTTCTACCATCTATAGTCTTAGTACTGTTGTATGTTTAGAGAAATGAAAGTATATGTTATTAATCGTGATCAGTATTTTAAGTGCTATAATTTTACCATATATTTTATATAGCATAAGCTCAATAAGCATGATTACAATTCTATTATAGGCTTAATTAAAACTGCTATTTTTGGTGTTATAGTTCTACCATCTACTGTACATACTTAAGCATGAATGCTATTCTAAGTGTTATAGTTCTAGCATACCCATGTAAGTCACCACAGTTTAAAGTGTATATATGTCATTTGTTAGAATGTGTTCTTACCATTGTTGTTTGCATGCAATTTTCCCCTTCAGTTCTCATGTGAGTACACATACCTTGCACATTGCATGATCACAAAATGTAAGTATTTTTCTTTTTATTGTTATTAAACATTAAGTTTAAGTGGTTCTTAAATATATATAAATATGCAATATGTAGTTTAATTTTGATGGCTTAAATTTAAAACAAAATTCTACCAATAAATATTTTGGTGAAACCTCAATATTCTGCCTGCAGCTTATCTTGGAACAGTAGTTGATATGATGTGATACTGTTAGGAGAATTTGGAATGCTTTACCCAGAATACTAACTGTAAATGTGGTGGGGCTGTAGCTTTGTAGATAAGAGACTTGCCTTCCAATCTCAAGGTCCAGGGTTTAAATCCTGCAATGTTGATGGAGTGGAGCTGTAGCTTGGTTGTTAAGATGCTTGCCTTCTAATCCCACGGTCGTAGGTTAAAATCCTGCAGTGTTGATTGAGTGGAGGTGTAGCTTGGTGGTTAAGATTCTTGCTTTCCAATCCTAGAGTCCTGGGTTCAAATCCAGCAATTCTGATGGAGTGCAGTTGTAGCTTGGTTAAGGTGCTTGTCTTACAGTTTCAGGTCCTGGGTTGAAATCCTGTAAGAATCCCAAATTTTTTCTTCAATTAAAAACAACTTCACTCTGTAGCAGCATATTGACACTTAGAATATAGCTTTATTCTGCAATTCACAAATGTTTCTGCTGATGAATATAAAGTAAATACAGAAATACAGAACATGTCTAAAAAGATCATAACTTTTTCTTTCTGACAGTATGATTCGCAAAGTTACCAGTCGCACCTTGGCCTAGAACACAAAGAATCTAAGGAGACACTAAGTGTGATAATGAGTATGTTACAAGCCCCTTGGGGTGGGGCTCATTGCTGTACCGTAGGGGATGAGAGCAAAGAATGTAGCCTCTGTGATCTGTCCGCTTTATGGTTCCAACTCGCGTTACTGATCATCGAGACAATTGCCGGGGAGAATGAGACTAAAGTGACAGACATGCCAGAAGTTTCCGAGTATGAATTTGACACAAAGATTAAAAGACTGATACAGTTCCAGAAAGATTGTCCCCAGAAGGATAAGAATCAAGTAAAGGGCGAAACGCCAGACAAACCAAAACCGAAAAAACTTGGCCAACAGGTACAGTAATTCTGTTAAGAGTTTAAAATTCAGTTGTTTTATTATTTATCCACCCAAATGCTTATCTCTTAATGAGGGTTATGAATAGAGATTAAAGATGGTTTTATTCGATTTTGATACTGTTGGATAATACTGCGGTAGAAAATGAATGGAATGTACATGGCCATGAAGTAACAGCACAATTTTAATATTATATCTTACCTTTATAATTGTTTTAATTTAATTTCAGGTGAAAGCTCAATCATTTGACCTAGGTCAGGTGCAATCCATTACACGGTCAGGTAAGGCAGATGCAAGAGGTGTCCCAGGCAGGGGAAACATCCCACGACTCCAGAAGGTATCAGAAGACAGCTTCACTTATGACCAAAGTAAGTTTGTCTTCATAAGAAGAATGAACATAACTATACTCATACTTAAATAGATGAGTGAACCTTTGTTCAGTACTTCAGTATTACTTTACAGTTATAATTACAATTCTATTTCCTATGATGCTTAATCATTTCTTAAATCAATTTTACTTTTCAGATGGTGAGGACGCTGTGTTTGTCCACCTGCAGGAACAGTCGACATGGGACACAAGTTATGGCGAAGTGCACTTCAAGATATCTGAACTGCCCCTACCTCTTCAAATCTTTACAGCATTGGTCAAGGTATTTGTTGTTATTTTAGTATTTATATGGCGCATATTCCTTTAGGTTACAAAGCACTTTGTTACTTTGTTTTCCCTGGTCATTGGGTCCATATGCTTAAATGTTGCTGCCTTACTTGCGAAGTAGCAGGGTACCCATTTATCACCATTAAGTGGTAAACACCTTTCAAGATAGAGGTTATCTAAAGGATTTTAAAAATTTATATTCATTATTTAGGAGCTGCCAAAGCATGATGATTCTGTGGTGTTACATTACCTCATCAACTGTATTCGTATTGTTTGTCTGAATGAGGAGTGTCTGCGAGGTTCTGTTAAGGATAATATTGCTTTCCTTGCCTATGCCCAGGAACATCTTCTCATTCCAAAGTAAGTCTTTGTTTGATTGACATGATTTTTTTTATGACACTGATGTATCAAGTGATGCATCATCACTGTTGATATTGTCATCACTACCACTTTGTCATCATCATTCCATTAATCATACTATCATCATCACTATTGCGATCATTAGTATCATCATTATCAATGTCTTCATAATTGTCATTATGTTTGTAATATTTATTACACTCCAATCATCTTCATCATCATCCATATCATTATCAGGATCTTCATCTTTATAATCATTATCATCGATGTCATTGTTAACATCATCATCCTAATTGTTTTTGTTGCCACCATTGTTGCCACTGCTGCTGTAGTCACCATCATCACCATAATCATCATCTTCATCATCATCATCACCATCATCATCATCTTCATCATCATCATCTTCATCATCTTCATCCTCTAATAAGCCTTTATCAAATTTCAGAATGCTGTAGCCTATCAAAAGTAAAATCAAGTGAAGACTGGCTGTATTATAACATATTATTTATTATATAATTTATTTTTGACAGCTTGTGGAGATTGATGCAAGGAGAATTATCTCACCTGGTATCGCTTATGGTTCCCATCATGAATCACTGTCTAGCGTTACCTTGTGGAGCTGATGCCCTCTGGAGAATTGTCGATAGTGATGTTGGAAGTGAAGACTGGCAGACCAGGTTTACAGGAGGTTAGCATTATCTAAGTTTGATATTTAAAATTACTGTCCTTATTTGATCACATAATAATGTAAGCCTTGTCCAGGCATGCCTAAATATGGTCATGATAACATCACATCATGACCATATATAGGTACGTCATGACTATATATGGGAATACAACAATATTTTTGTCAAAACAAATTTGATAGTGTGGTTAGTTGAGCAATCACCCATCATGATGCCTATGTAATGCAAACATGCTGAACTCTTCCTTCCGGCGGTTGGTCATGATATATCTTTACATTTTTTCCTGACAGATAGAATGTATCCAATGTAAATTGCCTCCTATCACTGGTAGGGTAGTCACATGACCACCATAGCATGGTGATCACATGATTATGCTAGCAGGGTGATAACATGACCACAGGCCACTATAACCTATTTTGCTCATTCACTCTTTGGCCCCACAATACATACAGTGGAGATTTGTCTGTCATTGCTAGTTTATTAAATTTCATGTGAATTTTTTTTTTTTAGTTGAATCACTCGGTGTGTTTTTGCGATTTGCGGACCAGCGGGCAATCGGCACCAACTCTGTGATCATGAGTACGCTTGCTCATCTATTCAGTAGCTTGATTGGCTGTGTAGAAGACATTTGTCCGGCAGTTGCGACTCGCACTGTTGTTATGCTCGAGACAATTCCGGCCAATGCTCTTAAGGTTGGTCACATTGTATGTATGCATTACGCATGTCTGTTAATTAGCATGTGTATATCTATCTCTGTTAAATGAATTCAGAATGATGTGAAATTCCATTCTTTTTTCCAGGTATTGATCCATTGCTTAGAATTCCAATGGGATTCAGTACTCGAGGATCGTGCACTCATTCTAAGCCGTCTCCATCAGTTGAAGCATTTTCTACCAGGCCCTTCATTCTTTACGTGGGAATTCTTCATGAATCGTCTTGATACGTTATCCGTCGAAGCACAGGTTGATCTTGATCAAAATAGGGAATTCCCCTTTCCAGTTGGTATGTCATGAATAAATCACTTTCATTAATTACATAGATTATTCATTAACAATACATAAATTCAGTAGTTAGTGGAAACTCCAATAATGGTTTAAAATATTATGGAATTCCCCTGTATCGGTTTTTGTGTACTAAGAAAAGTTATATGCTGCAATTCTTAATATAATTTATTGCATGTTAATTTAATATACAATCTTGAAATTAATATTGTCTCATGTTTTTGTTGTGATCTTGTTCTACAAAGTTAATGCTGTGATTATAATACTATTGTAGGTCTCAAATTATTCTTGTTTTAAATGATTATATACTGCCCTCTGTTGGTGGAATGTGGAGATGTTTGTTTTGATTCGTAGGATGTTTTGTGAGTTATGTTAATAGGGCGTCTGGTTATAGATATTTATGCGCATGTTGATAGTAGTAGTAGTAAAAATTGTGATTTGAATTTGTGGTAAAGAAAATACATTGGATTTTGTTATTTAAATTGTTTTTCTTTTAAAATAACAGTGTATTTATAATTTGTTTATGTTTTATCTGACGTGATAGAACCCCTCTCTAACATTTCTATCTTTTTCTACTTAACCCTTCTGCATTTATCTTATTGTCTTCATTCTTTGATGTGTGTCTTTTGGCTTATGAAGCCGAGAAACGTGACACGCTCAGTGGCAAGCAACCGTCAACGGGTAAGAGCATGCACAAACATAATTATAGTAATAATTACCATAGTGATTGTTGCCATAGCTAATAAACAAACATAATCATGAATGAATTTTTTGTTTTTTTCATTAAACATTTTACTAACACATCTATTAAGAACAATTACTACTAACATTGTTTCATTCTTATATGAGGCCGCGAATGCTAGTATAACAAATTGTTAGAGGCTTTGCGATTGTCAACATTTTCATAAGAGCATAAATACTGCCTGTAATAAAATTTTAAAGAACCCCAAACAATTGATTTAAACGTTGAATTGTTCCTTCAAAAGTATAAAAAAATTTACCAACTTCCAATTCATTATTATAAAAAAAAAAACATATAAAAAAAAACATAGTGTATAATGAAAATTCTTAAATTGATTGATTTCTTACTACAAAAATATTGAGATACTTGTGAAAATGTTTACAATTATTAAAACATTTTTGATGTTTTTTTTTTTTAAGCTATCTCTAAAGATATATTAGATAATAGTTTATATATTTTCTTAAAAATTATATATTTGTACATTTCTTTTGCCAAAACATGCATTCTCGATATGTATATAAACATGTGGTCTCATTAGGAAATAGTGCTGAAATTACATTTGTGCTGACATCATAACTTGTGCTGACATCATAGCTTCTACTGGCATCATCACAATTTGAGCTGACATCACAACATCTATTAAAAATAGCTGACACTACTACTTTTGCAATTCTACCAATCTTTTCATATTCTATATTGGAATGTTAATTTTTCAATTAATTTTGCTTGAATTGTATACTGTATTAAATAACCAAATTTGAATTGAATAAATTTATATAATTGTTTATTCTTGAGTATCATATCATTATCATTATATCTTTTATTTAATAAATTGCATGTAAAACTGACTAGATGTAAATTAGGTCAGAGGTTTGCTACAACATCCATATATCAATATGTATTAGTGACCTCTGCAGCTTGGCTTTTAAGTACAGTAATATGCATGAATGATCGGATTATATTTGTTAAAATATCAAATTAATTAAAATATATGGTTTTATATAAATGTTAATATATATAGCTGAATGTTACATATTTAGTTGTTTACTTATTATAAGAATTTTTTGTGATTGTGGTTTATCCAATAGACTTATCATTTGGAGATCCACAATATAACAAAAACAATGTAATTAACCATTTTAAATATTTATTTTGATGTTTGATTGTATAAAGAATATGATACAAATATAATCTAACATATTAGTGGTGATTACAAATGTAAAATTTAAAAAGCTTATATTCTAGTAAACATTACGATAACATTTTTGCTAAAAACGCGCCAGTGAACATCGTCGAAACCCCCTAAATACGGCCATTTTCTACTTTTTCTTTTAATAACTTCGCTCATACTTAATCAATTTTTTTGCGTAAAAAATAAAACAAATTGAAATTTAATAATCTTTACATCGATTATTAAATTATAATTGTATTCATGACACAGTCATCAGACTTTTGATTTTGTAATCAGACTCACTTATGTTTTTTTTCCAACGTAAACCAAAATCTTCTAGCCATCTTTAAGATAAATCCCTCTATAGTAGAAAGTAGCCGGTCGATTTTCACCAGTAAATCTCTATTCGAAAGCCTCATTTGTCTTCTAAATCATATTTAAACATGACTTTGATTAGTTCAGTAGTATCATTGTGCCAATCAGATTTATGAAGTCCATTGAAAACTTCTCCCGAGAAGCTTATGGCATTACAAGCAAATAACCATCTGATGATCACATTGATACAGCACTTTTTAGAATACCAGGCAAAATTACTACATTATCTGTATTTTTAAACAATAAGACTATGATCATAGGCTACAGAAAAAGATAGAGATTGTTATTATGTAAGCTTTAAGCAGTAAATATTTATAGTTTTTTGGTATGAGCAGTTTTAATTTTTTTGTAAATAAAGTTTTTGTAAAAAACAACATGGTTTTCCGAGCGGTTCGCGCGTCGCCGCTGGCGTGGGCTGTGCGTTTTCTTTTTCTAATGTGTTAGGCTACTGCATGTGTGAGTGTGACGGAAAAGGTACCGTGTGTGCTAGGCTTGTTGATACAGTAGGTTGATAAAAGATATTATATGTTTGTATTTTACATATGAATGAAATACCTTATAAAGTAGGTACCGGAAACACCCTAAATTATAAATGAACTGTTCCAAATCAATTACGCGTTTAATTCACAGTAAAGCGCACAATGCACGTCGGCCCATCATTGAGAGCGTATTCAGTGAATAGACTGTAAATGTTATCGTAATGAATAATTATCTTTAAAATTATTAAATGATTCATTCTTTTTCATCAATGAATTATCATTCCATTAAGGCATGTTCTTTAAGGAGTTCATTTCAAATATGAATAGATGTTTAGAAAATTAGTAGATATAGTAATATTCAAATGTTGTCATAAAGAAAGCATAAAGTAAGATACACCCTTTATTTGTGTCTGTTAGATTGGAAGGCTTTCGAAGTGCAAAAAAAAAAATGGCTCACGAGCCATTTTAGGCCCTATTGATTATACATACTGGGTAGTATAGTGACTGTTTTTTATATAAGGTTTAAAAATCTGAAGAAATCTTTGATACTGTTAATTTACATCTGATGACTTCTTTTCTATTGAGCTATTTATTAATATTCTTGTTAAAAAGATTTGGCTCGCTCAAGAACTGTGTCAGGTGAGAAGACCGAAAAACATCAGACAAAGTTACATCGTGCCATGATCATACGAACCCAATCAGACACGCCACAGTCCAAACTACGTCATCAGCTCACACCCTCAACCTCCGGATCAACTAAACGCCACTACCCACGAAGTGAATCTGCTCCAACGAATCTCTGGGCATTTAGAAAAGGGCACTTCAGGTCTTGTGAGTAAAACGTTCATATTATGAGTGAAGCTTAGCTTAGTCAGCTAAACTGGTGGTAGCCACTGTGTGTGTGCGCTGAACCGTGGAGATCTTTAGGTCCCCGGTTCAATTCCCATCACTGCTCTCCTTGTGTTTCAGCTGGAGGGCCTGAAATACAGGTTACGATAGCGCACGGTCTTTTGGATGAGACGTGTGCAGTATGGCCCTTGTTATTATTAAAGAACGCAGTACACTGTTCGGAAAAGAGTAGGGGATTGTCTCCCGGTGTGCTGCCCAATTCACCACCAGAAGGACCCCACTGGAAACAAGTCTTCGGACTTTGTGGGTTATCCTAGGTGTGATTAACACTAAAATACTCCTATCCATGTTGATGATTTCGTTTATTGATCCCTGACCTTAATGTGATGATGGTGTTTGTTTACATGTGATGAAACCAGATACAAATGATTATGTTTATTATATGCCTCAAAATGAAACTTCAAATCTATGTAGAAAAATGATTAAGTTCGTTGCTTAGCATCCTTGGCTCTTGTGCCTAAAGTTGAATATATAAAATCAAAAATAGATAAAATGAAGTTGTACCAAATTTACTTTTGTGTCTGCAGCTGAACGATCCACCTACAGTAACCAGTCTTCACCTGAAAACCTGCTAAGCCTAGGATCCCTTGCTGAAGAAGTCTTTGAAGGTAAAAAAAAGAAAAAAAATAACATAATTAATCTCAAAGCTTAATTGTAAACAATGTCAAATATTAAAGTTGAAGTATGTGCTGTAGAGAAATAAGGTGATAGATGAAGATGCAGGCAGCAAAGGTGAAAGGCTTACAAGGCAAAGAGAATAGGTGTAGAACAAAGGCTTTCCTTTTCCAATGGAAAAATGAGGCATTCTAAAGCCTGTCTCACATTATCGCGACCTAACATTGCAACCGTACCGACCTACGGTCGTATCTGACCGGAAGTAGGACCTGACGACCAGTACCGACCACTATATTTTTTCCAACATGTTGAAAACTCTGCGACCATCGACGACCCTCTCTTCTACACGAGCAAGTTGCTCATAGCAGCTCTCACACTGGCCGATGTCGGTCGTATACTGATCGCAGTCCATATAGGTTGTGAGAGTTGCTTAAGTCTTTTTTGTGAATACTTACCTGGATAAGCTGATAAATGCCAAAGTTTCCTCTAAAACTTACCTCTCAAGACATTAATCAGATTATCCAGGTAAGTATCTCACTCATAGACTAACAACATCACTTCTGATTTTTTTAATTTATGAAGAACACAACAATGTATTTTACCTGCAGCAACTACATAAATATTTACAAGCTAGAATTATTATTTTGAATCTTTGTCGATCACATTTTTCCATAGTTTAACACCCATGATTCTTTCACATCAGATGGCCATTTGGGTCCGCTAGAAGAGGGACATGCTTCGACCACAACTGATGCTCAATCTAATATACTTGATCTGGCATTCATAGATAAAGAAACAGTTCATCAATTGATTACACTGCTGATGAGGGTAAGCATCCACCTTATACTGCCCTCTATTGATTTTTCATTGTTATATTGTCATATCGGGAATAAAACTCTGCTCCTACAAATTGGTGCATCCTGGGGGTATAGAAGTAACATTTTTTTTATTATTGGGAGGAAGCAAATTTGATATAAATTAAGATAAAAAAAATACAAAATTTGAGGAACTTTATTGCAATCTCTCATTATAAAAACATAAATCAAAATTGAAGTTTAACAAAAGTAGGGAAAAAACATTTAAAAACATCACAAACAATATACATAACAATATAGAAAAGAAGAGAGAATTAAAATCAATTATTGTGTATTTAATTTAGTTTAATTTAATCATTAATTCATGCTTATTCGATAATTTATTTTTATTTTAAAATGTATAATATATTTATTTACAATTATATTTAAAAAAACTTTCAGAACAATAAGTTACAAAGGACCCTAAAAAATTAGGTGATTGTTTTTACTCAGCAAAATTCCAGTGGGAGAGCTGCCAGGGAAGGTGGAAGGGTGCATTTTCCCCCATGTTCCTGTGGATTATGCCATACAGTACTAATATCAACATTTTATCCCCCATGTTCATGTGGATTATGTCATAGGTACTAATATCAACATTTTATTATTTTTAGTTCATGGCCAAAGCTGAGTGTAGTGATGACGATCAAAATGGTTCTAGTAAGGCTATGGTGAGTCATAACAATGGAGTTCATTGTCCATACAATAAATACTCTGTCCACACTCTCAAATTTGCCGTATATAGTCACTCTGTGCCTATATATGGTCATGGAGCGATGTCATCATGACCATATTTAGCATGTCGCATATTTTTATCTAAATACAATATGATAATCTGGACAGGACTTAACCCTTTAATCAGTCTTAAAATAATTTATGCTTCAATTGTATTTTATTTTATATTCATTCTATAGATGACTGTTATACGTCATTTGTATGCACTAGTCGGATTCAGCAAGTTGGACAAACTGTTCACCATCGCACCTCATCAGCTGAGGGAGTCCTCCGTATTTAATGCGTTCATTGCAGGAATCGCCAAGGTTAGTAACCGCCCTCTTTAAACTATAATACAGTAGAACCCCTCAATTACGTACAGCACGGACCCAGAGCCATTCGTAATTGCGGGTATTCGTAAAATCGGGGTTGACCCAAATTCCAATATATTTCACTGGTACTTACACTGGCATAGGCTAGGCCCACAGGCCTACGCAGCTAAGTCTGAGGGGGCCTAGGCCTACAGTAGGCAGTTTCTAAGCATTGTGATCCCACTCTAGGCCCTACACAAATTTGTTTTTAATCGGACGTTTTTATCTTCTTAAATACCTAGATTGTGGATTTTACTCCAACACCACTTCCATAGATACTTGTAAAATTATATATATTGATCATTCAATGAAACAAGCACTATGTTGACTTTTACAGCTGAAAACGATGATTAAAAGAGAAGTAAAATTTGTTGCATGCACGTGTGAAGCCATAATAAACACTGAATTTGAAGAGGCCCGTTAGAGGGCCTCCTTCACTTGAGAATTACATAGTATTGTGTTGTATGCATGCTAAAAATAGTATTTTTTCACTTCGATTTTACATTCGTTAAATCAGGGTTTGTAATTGAGGGTTTCTACTGTACCTTTGTTTTGTAAAGATGAGATAAAGCTTTTTCTTACTTTTCCGTGCTCTTGACAGGTCATGGATTACAACATTAAGTTGGGCAAAAAGATTTTACCCCTAGTGGTTGAGCTACTGAAGTACTGCCCCTCCCCGCAGAAGACACCACACCACCGACAACATCAAGACTACACCCTGTTTTTCTTGGAGCCACACTGTAGACAATCCTGGTTGATGACAATACTTGTTATACTCTACAAGGTACAGCATTTCAAGCCAATGTTACTTTTAAGATATACAGTATATAGAGGGCAGTATTTCAGTTTGACCTAGCAACTGACCTTTAGTGGCTACGCGAACTTAACAATGGCCAAATTCAACTGGTCATTCTTCATTAAACCACACCCACCTGCGCAGTGGTAAAATCCTACTTAACGAAGGCAACCAGTCGAATAGAAAACTGGTAAATACTCGACAAAACAAAATGGCTGCATAGTTACCGCAATACACGCTGCGTAATCTAGGTTTGCTTTGGCTTGTGGCAGTATGGGTTTTCGTAAAAAAATGTTTTTATTCCAGTTTTTAAATTCTGTTAGCCTACAATTATTTTTTTACTTCATGTGCGTAAATATTATAATTTTCATTTTCTGAAATTTAATCTAAATTATATTAACACAAATGTTGTTGCTAAACTGACCAATTGGCCACGTTTGTTTTGATAACGTGGATAACTTAACACTGATTAGCGCACTCTGGTTTAACGTTAATTTTCATTGTCAACGAAGTCTATTTTATGAACCAATCGAATGAAAAATACACTCAACAAAAAATTGTAGTCAACGAAATGAACCAGTTGAATAAGCCCATTGTTACTTTATATACCTATTTTCTTTTCAGTATGATTTAGACTCAATGGACCTGAAAAGCACTTTAGAAGTTCTGATAAGGATTTGCATCAATACCATCGAGGGACATGTACACCAGTGTAAGCCCAAGCTGCCTGAACCACCTCAACCAGAAGACATCTGGGGAGCTACCAGTGATGTTGCAGACCCACCTAAGACAGGTTGCACTCACAATGTTACTCTTTTATTAGTCATTAGAAAACAGTAGTACAGTTTATGTAAAATTAAATAATATTAATAATATTTTGATTTATTTTAATATTTGTAAACATGAAGTGCATATATTTTCTGTGCATTTCAGCTCTAGTACAGTTTATGTAAAATTAAATAATATTAATAATATTTTGATTTATTTTAATATTTGTAAACATGAAGTGCATATATTTTCTGTGCATTTCAGCTCTGTGTTGAGTGGTGGAGGGGGGGGGGTGGTAGGGGATGGCTTGAGTAGGACTTCTGTGGTGAATGTCCAAGTGATAGACTCAACTTGCAAACTTAGTAATTAAACCATTTTACATTTTAGAGCCTGCTCCCAGAAATCTTGGTTTTGACAGTGACTCCGGCAAAGGTTTCACTCCAGGGGGAGTCCCACTTTACTCTTCGACACCCAATAAGGAATTGGTTGGGAACAGCGGACAATCACAGACAGTCTGTAAGATGTTGTATTTATCAGACGACACCTCATCTCGAGTTGTCCCTGGCAACATTGTCTCAACGATTGTTGAAGAAGAAGAGAATGCGGAGACCATTGAGATGCTGGAACCAATCAAGGAGGCGAGTTTAGAAACTGCCACCGCAAGAGTCATGTTTGTTGAGAAGGAGGAGGAAGTCGTTGTCACCAGTAAACCTTGTGTTATTGAGGAAGAACCTGTGATAGAGAAACAGATCACAGATCCATCGTCAGAGGAGAAGCAGAAGATCCCGATTACAGTCCGTAATCGACGGAAGCGAAAGAAGGCCATCGTGAATATTGCAACAACACCTGATCGTAAAGTACCCAATCAGAGGATGAGAGGGAAACGGATTCATAAAAGATCGGAGACGCTGAGAGGATCAGAGAGAAGAAGCAGCGTTCACTCAGCTGTCAGACGTTACAATGAAGACAAAAATATCATGGCTCTGAACAGGTAATTTTTTTAAAAATCTCTCCAAGAACTGTTAATTAACGTTGTGATGTTTTATGTGTTTTTACAGTACTGTGTTGGCATCAATTCAAATACCATTAAGTCTATTACTTTCAAGTCTTAACTAATTATTAATCCCAAATACTGTAGACAGGTAATTTTATTTCAAAGGGTTGCTATTTGCTTTCTCATTATTACGCACATATACCATTACACTCAGTGGCTTAGCTTGGGGGCATGGTAGCGTCCTCGTCTCGACCTTGGATAACGCTAATTCTACCACCATCACACACAAGATCAAGTCAACATCTACTTGTAATATCATTTTCATCATGCCATCTGACGGGCCTGGCAGAGTAGAATGATTGTGCTAGAAACGGTGTCCCGCTCTGGTTGAAACAATCTAGCAAGTGCGTAGACACAGTAAGAAGTGGCTAACTGATTATCAGCTTACCCTTCTTCTCCCACCCCTGCACATATCCATATCTATTATGTAATACTTCATGCTCATATTTGCACAGTAGTTTTAATATTGTCTTTCCTTATTTCTTGTATAACTCTTCAACAGATGTTCTGACTGCAATGCTATTTTAGAAGAATATGATGAAGACACCATTTCATTGGCAATTGTTGTCTTGGCAACTTATATCCATAAGGATTTGGACTTTGCAGCACCATTCCTACTGGAAGTGCTTCAGGTGGTTGGCAGGTAATGTACTAAATTTTCAGCAATTATTTTAATACATAGGAAAGTTTATTTGCTATTCATTGCATAGATAATTTAAATGCTTTGTTTTCTCTGCAGAGTTGCCTCAGCCACATTCTATCCATGGCAAAATGATATGTAAGTTTAAAATCTATGATTTTGTTATCAGTATTGCTTAATACCAACGTATTCCCTCATATACTCAGTATTATCACCATCATCATCAACCTCACCATCATCAGGATATAGCAATCATCATCATGATCATTGTCATCACTATCACCTCATCCTAATCTTTGTTATTATCACATCCTAATCTTCATTAACATCATCATCATTGTCATAACAATCATCATATCATCCTTATCTTTGTAATCATTATCACCATATTCATCATCATAATCTTATTATGTATGACATCACATCATATTCTCATCATCATTATCACACCATCTTCATTATAATTATGATCAGTATCATCCTCTTAATAATTATCAGTTAAATCCATAATCTTATGTTTCTGTAAAATTGTTCAACATTTCCTGTTTTTTTTTTAATTCTAGAGTTGGGAGTCCTCCAGGTCATGTTTGCTCAGTTGCTAAGCAGTTCCTGCGATGCATTTGCCACCAACTTGCCCCCAATGGTATCTTTGTCACACTGTTCCTCAGCAGAATTGAAGGTTGATATTTTAAATTTTCTACTCATCATCATTATCATCATCAGTGTCATCATCTTCATCATTAGTGTCATCAACAGCATTTCATCATCGTTATCATCATCATCAGCAGTAACGTTTCATAATCATTATTATTTCAACATCATAATCATCACCATCATTTTATAGTCACCATTATCATCATTGGCATCATCATTATTACTAGGTGTGTGTATTATCATGTGATAATAGGTACAAATTCTGCATATTATTTTTCTTTTATACAACTAGATCAAACATTTCTGAAGACATTAGCTCTAGCCCTTGATGACTTTGGTGAACTTTCTGCCATGGATGCTGTGCATCGCTTGCTGGAGGTACCTGAAACAAAACAAACTTAATATCGAACTCACTGAATTTGAATGTTATGCAAAAACAAGCCCATTAATCATTCTAATGTATATAATAACAATTGTGTTTTAATTTATTTTCTGTAGGGAATTAATCGAAAAACCAATCTGCCTCCGATGCGTATTCAGCGTGCGATATTGAATCTCGCTGACTATATGGAAGAGCTCCCTCTGGAGGGTGTTGGAGCATGGGCAAATCTCACAGTTCATTTTGACATATTCTTCAAGAAAATCATTGCTGTTCTACCTGAAAATGTAAGTCAGTTGCAAGATGGTATTAATTTACATAAGTAAATTATTTCAGTCTAGTTTCAAGTTGAGGAGTTTTAAAATGTCTATTAAAAGATATTAAATTATATTAACTTACCGTATTTATTCGAATGAACACCCCGCTTTGAATAAACGCCCCCTCGAATAAACGCCGCCGCTAGAGCCAAGCGGAATTTATTTGAGTATAACGTATCCATTTTACACAAAAAAAAACCTCCCTCGAATGAATGCCTCTCACAAGTAAATGCCTCTGTCAAATAAACAACCCCTGGGCATTTATTTCAATAACACGGTAAACTCCTGTGAATAACTTTAATTAGGTATTTTAAAATGTGTATGAACATTTATTTAATTAACCCCTTTTTCACATCATTAATCTACTATAGATGTGAAAGATTTTTTTTTAACATTAACAGTTTTTCTATTTTGTTCTTTTTTCAGTGTGATGTATCACCTTTGTTCCGCATTATGCTGGTTCTTCTCAAATGTCCAGCGGTCAAGAATTTGACCGCTTTACTTGATTCCTTCAGCAAAATCATCTCATTCACGATTCAAAAAGCAAGATTTAAGATCCAACAACTTATGGAGTTGTGCTCATTAGCATACAGGACCTTCAGTAAAGTAAGAAAGAAGATTGATAATAACGAGTGGTATGCCATGGTCCACTCGTGTAAAAAAAAGCATCCTAAACAAATTAGATATTAGTATGATTATTTAATAAAATAACTTTGATTATTATATTTATTTCTCTCCTCTCCACCAATCACTTGCCTTTTTTTTTTTTGCAAATACTAAAACATATTAGATATTTTGTGAATTAAAACACATATGATATGAATTCTTTATTTACTTTATTATTAAAGGATCGTGAAAGGTTGTCGCTATCTCGTTGTGTGGTGGTTGAGTTAAACAACGCCCTCAAGTTTAAGATATCAATCCCAGATGCTAATTTGATTGAGCTGGTGCAGTTTGTGTGCATCGATGCTGGAGGACGGATCAGCGAATCTTTCTTTGATGAGATGAAAATGAAGCAACTCCAGTCATCATGGGTATAGTCTATTGACGTTATAATACAGTATATATATAGATTAATCAATTATGTAACACCACAAGGTCTCTCCTTTATAATCCACCATGTCAAGGCCTCTATACATTATTACCCTGGTCATAATTATGATCATTACCTATGCAACACATACTGAACCACTGTATTCCATAATTTTGCAAGTAATAATCAGTACATTTGCATTCTATATGTATTTGTATCATTGTAATGTATTTTTATACTCTATATTATAACTATAATCAAAATGTTTTATAATAATGATTTTAAAAATTCATCATCATTTTCTGTAATATTACCATGACTATAATAATCATGTTAAGGTATCATCAATGTTTTGTCAATTTTTGTTATAAATGCTTTAAATTTTGTTCATTTATTTCTGAAGGTTTAATCACAGTTGTTTAGCATTTTCTGCCATAACATTTCCTTGTAACTGATTAAATATTTTTCAGTATCTTAGTTGAATTGTTAAATGCAATAACCGCTTTTTTTAATTTTAGTGTTCAACTGGTGTGTTGGAATGTATGAGGAGCTACATAAACGAATATATTGAATTCATCGGTGACCTCCATGCCCTCTCGAAGGTCAAGGTTAGTAACATTTACCCTCTCTCTTACCCC